GAGTTCCTGTATGCCAACTTTCTTCCTTTGGAAATAGTTTCCCCTATATTAACATTGCTTCTTAAAACCTACTAGGTCAGCCATGGGCTTGTTACAACTCAACAGTACACAGTAACAACTATTAACATGTTGCACACTGGAGTACACCGTTTTTTTAATGAACACTTTACTTTTGTATGAAATGTTTTTACAATACATCCTTTAAAATCTGTTAAATTTTGAACCATGTGAAATAAGCAAAAGGAAATTTTAAAATATTTTAAACATGATTATTCAAGAATCCTAAGAAGTAGGCAGAGCAAAGATCACTAGTTTCATTTCACAGATGAGGAAATTGGAGGCATCAAAGAGGGGAAATTAATTGGCCAACGTTGTGGCAGGGTTGTAAGTGAGACCCAAACCTTCAGACTACTACCTAGTCATCATTTTCAGAGCTACGGTAATTGGAAAGACTAGCAGTGCCCAGATTAGCTTTCTATATTCAATCTGTGTAGCCTGAGCCAAATGAATCCACCTTATTAATAACAGAGACTAATGGCCCTTAGTCATCCTTCATACCTGGAACAAAGCTCATCCCTGTGGCTCAACTTTCAGTCAAACAAGCCTATAAAGTGAACAATACATAACACCAGGAGGTATACAGGGACAAAACTCACAAAGGCAGGAAGGGACCAGATGAAAGGATTAATGGAAACAAGAATCGGCAGGAAGGAAATGGAGAAAGAGCAGTTACAATGTGGGTGTTGAAATTACTGTCATAAAATAAAATGGGTTTGAATGGAAAACTAATTCACCTCATAAATTTTCACTCAAATGACAATTAAAAAAAGAAAAAGAGACCACATTATTAACCAGTAAAGCAGGGCGCATGAGCTGTTCAGAGTTACCTAAATGATCTGGTTAACTGACAACCTTGAAATTCTTTGGGTTTGAGCACTTAATTCTGAAAAGCTTTATAAAATGCAAGCTCACAATCTTTTCTCAGTAAGGAGTGGCCACAACTACATTTTCACTAGCTTCAGAAATTTTCAGAAGCTCAAAGCTATCACTGTGAACTCAAAGGGATTTAAAAGCGAATGAGCCCTGCCGTGAGGAGCTAGTCAGATCCAAGGTTTAAGTCCTGGTTCGGACACTGACTTGTGTGTCTGCTTCGGTATGCTATTTACCTTGGTCTCAGCTTCCTCTTTGCAAATAAAAATCAGCCAATCAACAGGTATGTACTGAGCATTAGGTACCTGATTATCACTCCAGATGCAGGGATTCACAGATCAATAAGGCCAATAGAACTCCACATTTACACTTCTGGAGAAGACAAGCAGACAAGGTAATTTCAAGTACTGGTACAGGACAAAATAGTGTAATAGAATAAAGGGACGGGGAAGGTCTGTCCCAAGAGGCGCATTCATACTGGGACTTCAATGGTGAGGAAGTAGTGGTTAAAAGATCTGCATATGCAGGGGAACAAAAGCAAGGGTCCTGAGGCTTATTAGAGGGACAGAAAAGGCTGTTCTGGCTAGAAAGTAGTGAATGACTGACAAGGTGGAGGGAGATGAAGTGGACAAGGCAGACAGGATCTGTCTCTTAAGGGTAAGGAGTTCAGATAGTCTTCTGGTTGCAATGGAAAGCCAGTATAAACTCGTTTAATTTGTTGTTGTTGTGCTATCATGTTGGAACCAATTCACAGATGACCCTCCGGCGGGATTTCAGAGGCGGTTTATCACATGAGATTGTCCATCCTTCTCCCACAGAGCAGCTGGTAGATTTGAACCATGTGCCTCCAGGTTGGCAGGACAGCTCCTTATCACTAGATTACAGGAGCTTCCCTGGTTTAATTAGATATGTGATTTTCATACTTTTCTATTTTTTAAACAGCGGAAAACTCTTTAACCAAGTAAAATAAAATGGAAAGTCAATCTAGGAGCATTGCTTAAAGCAGAATTGCTGTGACTAGCTAAAGCCCTTCTGAACCTCTGCCGTCACAGGCTCCCAAGCACTAAAGAACTCAGAAGAGAAAACTACTAGATGACCTATCTCTAAGATTTCTCAAGCTCTAACAAAACCCTTAACCATTATTGTAGAGCAATACAGGGAGGAAAATGATAGTGGAATGTCTGCTGAATACAGGATGAACCCTGGAAAGATTTCCAACTAAATCCGTGATGCAGTGTTGAGATGACATGTGCTGTCTTATGTGTATTGTCACTATAATTTTTTTTTAAAATCACAATGCTGAAACTTGAAAGACAGAAAAAGGGATTAGAAATTGCCAAGGGCCAGGGTAAATTAAGGAAGGAACTGCCTATTTGGGCTAATGGAAAATTTTCCAGAAATTTTTGGGCTAATGGAAAATGCTTTATAGCCAAGTGTGGTGATTACATAACTGAATATATTCATCAAAATTTATAGAACTGTACACTTATATGAGTTCTAATTGAATAGTCTGTAGGGAGTTGCTCTGTTAACCCAACGATGGCACCTCTCTGATGGTTCAAATCCACGAGTGGCTCCTCAGGAGAAAGAATAGGCTCCCTCCTCTCATACAATTTACAGCCTCCAAAAAATCTACTATGAAGAGAACTCTGGTGTCCTAGTGAAAAGAAGCTGCACTGCAATCCTGAAAGCGAGCAGATCGAATCCACCAGATGTTCTGCTGGAGGGGAAATCTTCTCCGGTGCCAGTCAGATCTGATTTGATGTTATTCAACAAGTGGGGCGGTGGGGAGAAACAACCTACTATGAGTTGGTTCTGACTTGTCAGAAGTGAAGGCTTGAGTACATTTAAAACTGATAGAACTTCACAGTGTGTAAATTAAAGCTCAACTTTAAACAAACAAAAAAGTCATACTGCTGGAAGGCACCTCTAAGGTATTTCACACAGAGGAAAATTGATCCTAAACAGCAGATCCCAGAAATCTTGACCTAAAAGACAGTGTTCCCCACTCACTGCTGTTTAGTTTTAACTTACATGGCAGTAACCAAGCCTCTTCAGTGGATTAGACTTCAAGTTTCTCAGAAGGCAAAATGAGGTGGGAAATGCTGTAATGGGCTTTCCCACTCTAAACAGGCCCGTTTCTAGGAAGTGATCTATGATCAAGGAAAAACCTCAACTGCTTTGGAGCTTAAAAACAAAACAATAAAATCTGAAAGAAAACTTACTTACTTACTAGCCGTATAGTACAGTGTGGGGTTAATAATACCCTCAGGACACAGAAAAGGCGTCTGTAAAGCAGATGGTACACAAAGACTGTAGACAGGCAGCCTGTACTAAGGAGTCTGGCCATGCCTACATTGCAGGTGCTATCTGCCCACAATCCACCAGGCTCCTCCTAGGAACAATCATAGATGGTCATGGGTAAAGAAAACTAAATGCCCTGCCCCGCATTGCATAACCTGTGCTCAGGTACACAATTACCCTGGGCACATGCTGTTACCTCACCAGGTAAACAGGAACAGTCTGCACGCTCCTTGACCATTCTCAGTACAAACATCCAGGTGGTGGGCTGAGGGCTTGTAAGAACCCTGCTGCTCTTTCCAGTTCTACTTTTATACTCTAATCCTCCTACCAGCATCAGAGGCACAAACTCCTTCAAGCAGGCTGTTCACTCACACCACAACCCTTCCCCAACTACCTGCCCCAAGGGCACAGGCCTGAGCAACTCCTGCAGCACCTTGCTTTCATCGAGACCAAGATCAAAACCATATAGAACGCAGGAAAGCCTAACATGTTCAAGGCGAGTAGTTTCTCCTTCCTGAAATGTCAAGTCTACTCCAGAGTCTCTGTGGTCATGTAAAGATTGTTTTTCTCCATGGTGGAGCAGGAGGGAGGCCATACCCAAAATAATCTCCATTTTAAATGAAACAAAGACAACCAGCTAAGTATACTAGCCAAACAAACACTCTACAGGGCCTAAAACTGCCAAGAGCCCACGAAGAGGCCAGCAAGCTGGCTTGAGTGAGGTCTGAGGGGCTCAACAAACACCAAAGGCCCTGGCTCTCCTTCCTGACAGTTTTGAGCTTCCATCTCCCCACTCTGAGAACCATGGTGATAACTGGCCAGTACTGCCCAAACTTTTGCTGTTAAAGAGCCATCCTAGCGAACTCAAACAACGGAAGAATGATAATAACTGTGCTGGGTAGTGCGGTTAAGTGATGATGTGCCACCTGTGAACAAGAACAATGCTCTGTTTTGACACCTAAGTAAGAAACTGATTCATCAATCACAAACATCATTTCTCGAACAACACGCTGCAGTTTCTCTGCCCCAGCCATTGCTAAAGCTTGGTGCTCTCCCCCACCTTCCGGTATCTGTGCAGTTTTCAGTTTCCACCGAAGCCCGGAACAGCCTGGGGGAGGGGACCGAGGGCTGGCCCATCTCTCAAAAGTTCCCCCGCCAGGTCCACAAAGAGTCTGCACGGAGGCGTGGCCAGGCTGGAAATTGTGACCAAAAGTTTTGGCCTTCGGGTTCCAGAAGCAAGCGCTTTCTGATCCTTCTTTGTCAGCGCGTATCCTTTCCTGGCTGGATTCCCCATCAAGAAGACTGGGGATCCGCCGCGCCCTTTGGTGGGGAGGGGTCCTGGACGGACAGGGTTCGTATCTGTCGGCTACGAAACACAATCCCTCGGGCTACTTTCCTCCAGCGAAGTAATTTCAGAGCAAAGGGCCCCCAGAGTTTGAGCTACAGAGGATAGGGGACTCCTCTTCCGCCCTCCCGCCACCTCTTACACATAAGACCCAGGGAGAGGAACCGGAGTCAAACGGAATCTGCGGGCTTGAAAGTGTCCCAGACCCCAAGGCCCAGGCCCGCTCCGAAAGGAAGAGAAAAGGAAAGCAAAAGCATCTATAAGAAACTTTGGAACAATCCAGAGGTCGCTCCTGTTCAGCCAGCCCCCCACCCACCTGCGAAGGGCGAGCCTTCGGGGGCCTGTGAGGACCCGGACAGCCCGAGATGCCACTCCCAAGCCCGCGACCCCGAGACCAGCCTGCCGGAGCCGGGCCTCCCACCTTGACTCGCTTGCCCTGGATCTCCAGAGTCTTCATGGTGAAGTCGACGCCGATTGTGCTGCCCTGGCGCTCCGAGAAGGAGCCCGTCTTGAAGCGCTGCACCACACACGTCTTGCCCACACTCGCGTCCCCCACCAGCACCAGCTTAAACAGGAAATCGTACTGTTCGTCTGGATCCCCGGGTCCCGGGCCCGGCCCCGCCATGACCTCGTGGAGCCGAAGGACCGGCCTAGGTTCACGGAAGCCGCAGGCCGAGCTCCGGTCCGCTCCAGCCCGCGGGCTTCCAAGCAACGTGGAACCCCAGGAGCACCTAGCGGACTAGAGCTGTCGACCGCTGGCTTCGCCCTGGCCCCGCCCCGGGCCTCCGCACCGCCCCTTGCCTGACCCGGACCCGGGTCCTCCTGGGACTAGACTAGCCCAGCCCTCCGCTTTCCACCAGGTTAACACGACCCTCGGGCCCGCCCTCGAGAACGCTTCAGGCCCAACCCCGCCCATAGGACCACCTCCAAGCCATCTATGGCTCGACTCCACTCACAGCACCGCCCTCTAGACCGCCTCCTGAACGACTCCGCCCACAATATAGCCTCAAACCAGTCCCCTGCCCGACTCCGCCCACAGCACCGCCCTCTAACCCGCCTCCTGCACGACTCTGATCACAACATCGTCAAGCTAGTCCCCTGCTCGACTCCGCCCATCGTATCGTCCTCAAACCCACCTCCTGCAGGACTCCGCCCGCAGCACCACCCTCAAGCCTGTACCCTGTTAGACTCCGCCTACAAAACAGCACTCAACCCAATCCCCTGCCCGACTCCTCCCACAGTGCTGCCCTCAAGCCCGCCTCCTACAGGACTCCGCCCACAGCACGTACTCGAACCAGTCCCTTGCATGACTCCACCCATAGCACCGCCCTCAGCCCCGCCTCCTGCAGGACTCTACCGATTGCGTCGTACTCAAATTGGTCCTCTGCATGATTTCACTCACAGACCCACCCTTCTGTCCGACTCTGCCCACAAAACTGCCCCTAAGTCAGACTTCTGTCCGACTCTGACCAGAGGCCGGCCCCCTCTCAGACTCCGCCCCCACCAGCACTCACAAGCCGGCCCCCAGACCACCTACGGCCCTACACCCTGTCAGAGCACCACCGCTCACGGCACCGCCCTCCAAACCGCCCCCAGTCCAACTTCCGCCTTCGGCACCGGCTTCTTTACCTAGGCACCGCCCCCAAGCCCGCCCCCGGCCCGCCTCCTCAGCACCTCCAATCCCATCCCTAGTACTATTCCGCCCTCAGCACCGCCCCCAAGCCAGTCCTTTGCTGGTCCCGGACCTCGGCACCGCCCTCAGGCGCGCCCTTGATGCAACTGCGCTCTGAGTTGCTAATGTGCCAACAAGTCGTTTGCGATCATAGCGACCCTACGTACAAGAGCTCTAAACGCCGTTCTATCCTTTCCCAACCTCGCCATCTCAAGCACACTCATTCCCACCACTCCAGTCACAGAATCGATCCTTCTCATCCAGGGTCTTCCTCTCCTGCGCTGTCCCTTCACTATCCCAAACATCAGATGTCCCTCTCCAAGGACCAGTCCCTCCTTGCAACATGCCCAAAGTATGTCAGATGAAGATTCAGAATCCTTGACTACAAAGGAGCATTCCGACTTTACCTTCTCAAGGACAAACCTGTTTGTTCTCCTAGCAGTCCATAGTATACTCAACACTCTTCTCCAGCACCACAGCTCAAAGGCATCAATTCTCTTTCTATCACCACTACTCACTGTCCAACTCTCTGATGCACAGCATGTAATTGTGAAGACTATAGCCCGGATCAGACGCACCTTAGTCACCAGCCTGACGTTGTTGCTTTTCAGTACTCTTGAGAGGTCCCTCACAGCTGACTTTTCCAATGCAATTCATCTTCTGATTTCCTGGCTGCTGTTACCAAGAGTGTTGACTGTGGAGCCAAGTAAACTAAAACTGTTAACTATCTCAATCTCTTCACCATACGTACTGATGCTGCCAATTGGCCCAGTGGTGAGAATCTTTGTTTTCTTGATGTTCCTCACAAACCCAATTCCCCACCCACCACACCCTCCCAGTCCCAATCTATACCTTCTCACAGCCTCTATGTCTGTCTCTCTGCACAGCCCCAGCTCACATCACAACTTCCTCAGCACAAATGCTACCCTAGTCTGGCCCCAGACTGGATGGAGGATGCAGCTCCCCAGTAGCCTGGCCAATGTACCTGGCTATGCCATCCATTGTCCTACCAGGCTCGAAGGGATGATGGTTTTGCAGGCCTGAGAGCCTATTAACCCAGTTTTCTGACCAAGAACTTTTGGCATGTTATTACAAGGGGTCAATACTTGGAAAAGAACAATCATGCTTGAAAAAGTAGAGGGTTGGAGGAAGATCACCTTTGAGATGGACTGACCGTGACTGGAACGCTGGGCTTAAGCTTAGCGGAGGATGGCACAGGGTCAGGCAGGATTTCTTTCTTTTGTATAAAACTCTGGTGGCAGAGTCCACAGGGAATTGTGTTACTAACCCAATACCCTTCCATCTCTGGTGATGGCCTAGTGGTAAGGAGTTGCACTGTCAACCTGAAGGCACAAGGTTCAAATTCACCTTCTGCTCTGTGTGACAGAAATGGACAATCTCCTCTCAACTGATTGTAAATTTTCGCTATAGTCATAATTTAAAACTTTATGGAGTTATACAATGAGATATCATCTCAATCCAGTAGCAGTGGCAGTTTTAACAGGACAGCAAGTAATAAATGTTGGAGAGGATGTAGTGAGATAGGAACTCTTACACATTGTTGATGGCATTATAAAATGGTACAAACACTCTGGAAGGCAGTTTGTTATTTCCTCAAAAAGCTGAACATACGTGAAAATGGCAATACTACCAAAGGCAATACACATGTTCAATGCAATCCCAACACAAATACCAATTCCATTCTTCAACGATATGGAAAAGGCAATCTCCAGCTTCATTTGGAACGGAAAGAAGCCACGAATAAGCAAAGCACTCCTTAAAAATAGAAAAAAGGTAGAAGGCATCTCACTCCCTGATTTAAAATCCTACTACACTGTCGTGTTAGTCAAGAC